GATGTAGAACATAATGGAACACATACAGGATGGTAGATTTAGAACATGGTGGAACACACACAGAATGGTAGATATAGAACATGGTGGAACACGTACAAGATGGTAGATATAGAACATGGTGGAACACATACAGGCTGGTAGATGTGGAACATGATGGAACACATACAAGATGGTAGATGTAGAACATAGTGGAACACATACAGGATGATAGATGTGGAACATGTTGGAACATATACAGGATGGTAGATATAGAACATGGAGGAACACATACAGGCTGGTAGATGTGAAACATGATGGAACACATAGATGGTAGATGTAGAACATAATGGAACACATACAGGATGGTAGATATAGAACATGGTGGAACACACAGAATGGTAGATATAGAACATGGTGGAACACATACAAGATGGTAGATATAGAACATGGTGGAACACATACAGGCTGGTACATATAGAAATGGTGGAACACATACAGGCTGGTACATATAGAATATGGTGGAACATACAGGCTGGTATATACAGAACATGGTGGAACACATACAGGCTGGTAGATATAGAACATAGTTATACATACAGGATGGTAGAAAAGTTGAGTGAAATGTCTATGAAGCTGTAATATTAAGGAAAGTAGGGCAGAATTACGTTTTACAGAAGCAGTTCATCCAGAGGTTGTGATCTTGAAGCTCATTACAGATCATCACACTATACAAGCAGCAATAGAGTATTTTACATATTCCTCATAAGATTATCTTCAATTTCTACCAATAATGCAGAACTCCATCTCACACAGAGTGAACACTGCTGTCTTGGGAGTTTTACGATAATGATGCCATATGGCGTATATTCAGCATTAACAACCAAAGCATGTGTTCTGCATTTCTCCCATTAAAAGGGCATTTCAGCAGCCAGTGGATGAACACACAGAAACCCAGAGAATGATATCTAAAGTGCAGCGTTCCTCAGTCTCCAATGCAACTTTTAAATTTGTTATGCACACCAAACACAGCCCAGGCACGTAAAACTGACCCATACATGGACACACCACAGCTGTTAGAGCTCAATATCATGTAGAAGTTTTTGATACCAATTCAAAATTAAGTTAAAACAAAATCCAACTAAATTAATATATACATATATATATATATATATATATATATATATATATATATATAAACAAATATATGAACATTTAAGCATAAATAAATAAATAAACAAATATATATATATATATATATATATATATATATATATATATATATATATATATATAAAATATAAATATATCTATATAAATAGAACCATAAACTCACAAAGAACCATTTGCATGATTAAAGGGTTCTTTGCATGATGAAAATGTTGTTGGAGAATGTTTTGTAAATGAAAAGGGTTCTTCTATTGTTACAATGTCAGGAAGAACCCTTTTGGGTGCTACGTAGAACCTTTTCACAAATGTGGTAACAAAAAGTCTGTGTTAAATTGTGTCCCATGATAGGTTGTTCCCCAAAGTGCAGCTGTTTAAAGTTGAGGAATGTGAAGGAGTCACTGAAGTAACCATGCTATAAACGTGTCATAACATGTAATAATATGACGTCCTGAAAGCTTATGTGACATGCTAGTTTTTGCTAAATGTACTCTAGTTAGCGTGACATAAAACATTACGGCACATGACTTGACGATTACAACACTGACACTGTTATATTACTAAACAAAAGCTATAATCAGATGTTCATGACATGTTTATAATGCAGCATGATAGTCCATAACATTGTTATTACATGTTCATAATGAGCGTGACAGTTCATGACAGTGTTATGACATGTTTACCACATGTTTATAATGCAGCATGATGTGTTCATGACAGCGTTATGACATTTTTATGACAGTGTAATCTAGCATGGTTCAAGAAAGTGTTAGTGGTCTTGCAGTGAAGAACAGTGAAGAAAAGAAATATAGTATACCTTAATGATCAACATTGTTAAAGAAACGGCTCAGTGCTTCAGTTTAAATGTTTTTTTCTCACTGTAAGTCATCTTTTACACTCTTTTTCTACTGGAGACAGAATTCTGCCTGCAATTACACTCCACCATTCTGACTGACAGTAATGATTCATCCCAAAGCTCAGTGCAAAAGTCAGTCCCCTGTTATTATTTCCCTCAAAAACGCAACCGCCTGAACTGAAAATGCATAACAGTGGACGCAGTCAGGACCACACGTCCATTACACAGGCTCATAATTACAGTCATTTTTAACGCAGTTTGAACAGTTGTCTCCTTCACGGCTCTCTATTGTCTGGCCAGCTTCTCTCTGCACATTTAAAGCCCTGATCAATAATGACTAAATGGAAGTGTAGACCTTGTTCCAGCAATGTTTGGATGAAGATTCCTAGTTTTCTCTTTAGGAATCTGCATCTTTAAGAGGAAGGATTTGGCATCTTATTTATCTGACTCTGTTGAATACTAAAAATGCAAATTGTCCTATAGTTGCATTCAAATGTTTGGACACCCCTGATCAAGTGACCTGTTGTTGATTTTCTACATGAAAAGTTAAAACATCCTCTACAGAGACCCCACGTCTGTTTGTTGTAGTGCACAAGTTTCATTCATTTATCATTTTATTGGAAAAATATATAACATAGTAAAACATAAACATAAAATATGCCACAGACCACATTTAATGTTTCACATTTCCTCCAGTATGTTGAATTCAATAAATGACCAGTTATTGTGCATCAATAAAATATGGAGGTGTTCAAACCTGTACTTAACTCCAGATTCCAAAAGCAAGAAATGCTGCCATCTGCTGGATGATGGATGAAACACATCAACAACTGAGCTGGTAAAATGTGCACTACTGTTCACCCAATAAACACTGTGCCACAAAAGCTCTGTTACCATGACAACTACAGCTGGGCAATATGACAATATTTATAATTGTTGTGATAAACTGCATCACAGTGTTACAATATGCTTTATGGGCTTCTTGTGGATTTCATTCCTGCTGAAAAAACAGCACAAACCAGCAAGTATTTCATGCTGATCTAAGCTGGTCTGTGCTGGTCACCCCAGTATGGTCATCAAAACACATATGCAACACATAACACATATGCTGATTTTGTTAGCTATTCTAGCAGGAATCAATACTTAAACACTCCACAACTACTTTTTTACTACAAAGAGAACATTCCTAATTCCTAAAACAAGAAATGCTGCCATCTGATGGATGTTGAATGAAACACATTGGAATTAGACCTCCGCATTTAACCCATAAGTGCAGTGAAACACCCACATACATGCACACTAGTGAACACGCACACTAGGGGGCAGTGAGCACACTTGCCGAGAGCGGTGGGCAGCCCTATCCAGGGCACCCGGGGAGCAGTTGGGAGTTAGGTGCCTTGCTCAAGGGCATTTTAGTCGCGTACTGGCAGCTGAGGGGATCGAACCTTCCGGTCACAAGGCTAGTTCCCTAACCTCCAGCCCACGACTGCCCCCTCTATTAAAAAGAGCATTACTGTTCACCCAGTACACACAGTGTCACAAAAGCCGAGTTTGATTGGTTTTAGTGTAGCACAGTGTGTGAAACACTGAATACAAATCATTGGACTCATAGTTTTCATAGTCAAAATGTGGTTCTTTTTCGTCTGTGCTAACATCAGATGTCAGAAAAACTAAATACCATTATATATTGTGTATTATAAAAATGTCCTTGAAGTATCACATCACATTTAGCCATATTACAGTATTTCTATCTCGTATCACACCTTAGCCATGTAAACAGGTCTGATGGGCTATGCTTGGAGCAGGAATAAATAAAAGATGCATCAGCTGAGGCTTCCGGCGAACTGTACTGAGAGTTTCTGCACTCCACAGCAAAAGGCCACATTTTAAATCACTTACTGCAGATTTGTTCAAATTACCTGCACAGCAGAACTTACCTTTGCTAAAGGCATGAGTTCAGTTGAGCACTGCCAATGGTGTCAGAGGCCTCAGAGTGTACCCTGTCTACCTCCTGCTGCTGTCCAGTGGAGTAGTGGTGTCTGGATGAGTGTACATATTGTTTTTAACAGAATCCTCAATTCAAAACCCTCTCTAACTAAAAGGATCTAAAGCTGGCTCACGATTTTTACAAAATCTGTTCTGTTGTTGAGTCATTCAGTGGTTCGATGTGAAACGGTTCACTGTAGAGAAACTTACCGATTCTGATTATTAATAAGACCCCGAATGTAGGTCATGACACAAGTAGGTATTTTATTTACCTTCCAAAACCACTAGTGAACCTACACGTGTCTTTTGAGCTTTTATGTAATGTTAAAAGTTTATTTCAAAATTACCGTGAAACAATATCTCAGACATCAGGCAGCATAATTTTATCAATTTCAAGTAACTTTCTGTGAAGGAGCTTTTAAGGGTGGACGCCTGGTTCCCATCACCACCACTGTGAACAATTCTGACTTGGCAAGTTTCTCTAGAACGCAGCATTTCACATCAAACCACTCTGAATGACTTTACTAACAAGTGAATTAACACAGAAACTGAGACAAATCAGTGGAATTCTCTTTTTGACGCACTGCAGGCAAAAACATGTACTGTTCATACAATTTAGCCACTTTAAAAAAGTGCATTAGTTTATGTATAAAATGTGAAAGTTGAATATTTATCAAAGACATTAAGGGATGAGAGGATATAGAGGATTTCAAATATTCTTTTCTTCATTTCCAAATTCAAATAAAAACATTTTCTATGTAGACTTTTAGACTGGAAGGTCTAATAAACTGGAGACTCAGTGTAATGACAAAAGACAAATGTGTGTCCTGAGGCGAGACCAGTTAAGAAGTGTCCTGTTAAGGTTATAAATCTTTTGCTTCCACTCCTTAACTGCTTCTTTGCTGGCGCTCAGGCTCAGCGTACGGCTGGCAGGTGCGTCCATCTCACTTTTGACGAAACGGAGGTGAAAACAAGAACAAGCACCACACACATGATGACAGCAGCACAGTGATAATCACTGGATTAAGACAATGCACTGTACACATTTATTTACAGTCATCTCTCATACAGTTTTCATTCCTATTATATTTTTCTTCTTTTTTTTTTACCCCCATTAATCAAGGCATCCAAATCTTTTCATCATTTTTATCGTTTGTATTACTATACACACCAGGAATACAGAACGCAACAGAAAATGTCAATCATACACATTTACAACTGAACGGATTTGAAGGATCTAAAGGGCTTTCTTGAAATCATTTCATTTCAAGGTGGCAAAAAAAGAAACAAACAAAAATCAAATGAGTATGTTCATCAAGGCTGACCAATATTCAAATCAACATCAATATAAAACTAAAGTAAATGAAATAAATTAGATGTTGTAGTATTTTTTTTTTAAACCAAAAAAGTAAACAAGTAATAAAACACATACAATCAGTTATCTCAATGATTCCCAATGCAGCAATAAACCAATGCAAAAAATTAATATGGTTCTGCTTTTATACACTGTACAGTTAGTTATAAGACACTGTTTTAGCATGTCTGCTTATTAACAGAAGTCCAGAAGAGTTTTCCACACCATTCCACTGTTTTTCTTTCCTGTATGTAGCGCATGCCGATCCTCTCACTGGCTCTCGTTAGGTGTAACTTTGGTTTCTTCATTGAAACAGCACTGATGTCGCAGCTGCTGTAACAAAAAGCAGTGAAAAACGGTATAAAGTTAAATCGAAATTGCAGCTCTCTGTGACAAAGGCTACGTGCTTTAAAGTTTGTGAACCCTTTAGATTTTCTACATTTCTGCATACATTTGACCTAAAACTTCATCAGATTTCCTAATAGTCCTAATAGTAGATAAAGAGAACCAAATTTAACAAATGAGAGAAAAATATTACTTGATCACTTGTTTACTTTTATTTATTGAGGAAAAGAATCCAATATTACAGATCTGTGAGTGGCAAAAGTATGTGAACCTTTGCTTTCAGTATTCAGTGTGACCCCCTTGTGCAGCAATAACTGCAACTAAACGTTTCCAGTAGCTGCTTTCTTCAGGTCCTTCCACAACATTTCTACAGGATTAAGGTCAGGACTTTGACTTGGCCATTTCAGAACATTAACTTTATTCTTCTTTAACCATTCTTTGGTAGAACGACTTGTGAGCTTAGGTTTGTTGTCTTGCTGCATGACTCGCGTTCTCTTGAGTTTCAGCACTTGGAGGAGAAGGATAACCGCCATTTCCGTTATGTCACGTAACAGGCACCTGCACTGACTAGCGTAGTGCTAAGTGATGGGGGCAAGGGGGGCCATACAGTATAGCCAGTTTTCCACTGCACAATATGGCTCGACTCAACTCGACTCAGCTCGCTTTTGGCACCAGATTCTTCGTTTTCCACTGCAGCTATAGCACCCCTTCTATGTAACTGGTCATCATAGCGATGGCAATTTGAAACTGCCGTGATATGAAGGAGACAAATGTTGTTCAGAAGAGGCTGATAGTAGTAAGACGAAAGATTGCTGAGAAAGAAAAAAAAACAGGAGAGTTTGACAAAAACTACATCAGAGCTGAGACAATAAGACGATTCTGGGTGCTCAAAAAGGCGATGCAAGATGCACTGCTAACCTGGTAGCTAACGTTAACATACGTATTTAGCCATTCTCTCCGACCAATCGGTAGTCTGTAGCGTTTTGACCACCTTTTGGTATCGGAAAACCAGAAAAGACAAGTCGAGTTGAGCCGGTGCCATGCAGTGGAAAAGTGCCTCACATTTGGCAGTGGAAAGATTACAGAATTAGTAATGGCACCACATGGTATTAAGCTGCACAGTGGAAAAACACCATAAGAAATATGAAAAAAAGAGAATGAAGAGAAATACCGTGCACTGGGTCAGTCCTCAGACCACAAACTTGTTCTTGGTGGTGGAGCCACTTTTTGTAGCTGTGTCTGCATGTGACTGGTATCCAATGATGACATTAGGTGGTACACCTAACCGGGCCTTGTAGACTCGCCTGTGAAGATATAACAGCAGATCAGCAGAAATCATCAGCTCAGCAGGAAAAAAACAGGCACGTTTTAGATAAAGGAATGTGTGTGTGTGTACGTCAGTATGTGCTGAAACTGCAGAATTTAACACAAGGACGTTATTAACTTCAACCGTATTCAGGAGGGTTTTCTCAAACGGCGGGCGCTGACATTCATTAAAGGAAATCAATCAATTGATCAACAGTTACATTTTCACAAGGAGTACATTCAGGTTGCCTAAGTAGCTGACTACGGGTCGCCTGGATAAACCACAGGAGCACTTTCAGCACTTTCTAATTAATAGGTCAGCAGTGTAGGTTAGTTAAAGTTAACATGGATGAGAAATCATCTTCCCTTCCATGCTGGGGTCTCCTGAGCTAGCTGAGCTTTTTGGTAATAAGTAGGCGTAGTGGGAAGGGAGGAGTTATTTTTCTTATTATGTTTTTTTGTCTTATTTCGCTGTCTTCATAAAAATAGATGTTATACTGATATTCTCAAGCTAAGGGTGAGGTCGTGCATTTTATTTATTACTACATTTTATATTACTATATATTACATATTTACCAGATGAGTCTACTGCTGTTACATAGATTATAGATCCCTATAAATCAGGAAACTGTCAGTTTAAATCCCAAACAAAAGAAGAGCCAATTATATGCGTATTATCAGCGAAATTATCATCTGATTTCTAATATCGGCCAATTGATATATCAGTTGGGCACTGGACTCTGGAGAAGTCAATATATTTTGATGGATGATTACAGAGAAACAAGAATTTGGTGTAAATATGACATGATGAATCATGCTTAAAGAAACAGTTGGCAAAAAAAAGGTTTACATAATTTTTACACTTATCCCAGTGTCATCGGTCAGCCAATGCATGTGTGGAGTCCAAATGTTGCTTTTTTAGTTTTTTTGCTGGAGCTATGAGGCTAACGGGCGGCACGGTGGCGCAGTGGGTAGCGCTGTCGCCTCACAGCAAGAATGGCCTGGGTTCGATTCCCGGCCGGGCGACCAGGGTCATTTCTGTGTGGAGTTTGCCTGTTCTCCCCGTGTCTGCGTGGGTTTCCTCCGGGTACTCCGGTTTCCTCCCACAGTCCAAAGACATGCAGTCAGGCCAACTGGACGTGCTAAAATTGCCCCTAGGTGTGAGTGAGTGTGTGAATGTGTATGTCTGTCTGTCTGCCCTGCGATGGACTGGCGACCTGTCCAGGGTGTATCCTGCCTTCCGCCCAATGACAGCTGGGATAGGCTCCAGCACCCCACCGCGACCCAGAAGGATAAGCGGTTTAGATGATGAATGAATGAATATGAGGCTAATGTAGCTAACAAACACCAGATGTCAATAGTCACCCAGCCTTTAATATGACCTGGAGCATCAACTAAATACTAATAAAGTTTCTTTAAAAACTAATAAAGCTTCTTTATATCTAATTTATGTCTTATATTTCTTTATGTTTATTATGCTGTTTTATTTTACTTTTATGTTAAGCACTTCCAACTGCATTTGTGTATCAAATGTGCTCCATAAACGTAGCTTTTCTTTTTATTAAATCTCCATAAACACCAATTTGCCCTTACCCGATGTGTACGACTGCATCTTTATTTTCATAGTCTGTCGTCCATATTGCTATCTTGTCTCCTTTCGTCCGAATGTTGACAACGGCACCGCAGACATCATCGCTGTGGTCATCAAATGCTTCCCCCACCAGACACAGAAGCTGAAACACAAACCAGCACACAAATTATCTATTTCATTATGCTCCTACATAAAAAATAAATCTAAAAGCTGTTTTATGGCATTTAATATGAGTGATCATGTATGTAGGTGAGTATAAATACTCCCAGGTCTGCTAAATCAAGTGAACTAAAGTTCCCATAGAATGCAAGTACACTTTCCTAAAATACTATAATTAAAATGAATCATAAAATTTGAAATTTCTTTATACAAAAGATCATTTCCTAAAATGCTGTATTTAAATTGAATTGTAAAATATGAAACTTCATAATCCACTGACTTGATTTTTAAAGAATTATAATTAATTGAATTGTAAAATATGAAATAACATGATGCACTGAATCTTTTCTTAAATAATCGTAATTAAACAATCTGATGCACTGAATCATTTATGAAAGAATCGCTTTTGCCAGCGTCGTATAGATACCGTCTCGAGCCAGAAGCGGTCCAGGTCGGCTCTTCGTTGCTGTTTGGAGAGAGTGATGAGCCAGCGGCCTCCTTTCTTATTCCTCTCATCCTCCCACATGGGCTCAATACCATCCTGCTCCAAAAACAGCAGAGGTGAACATGAGGTCACATACTTCTCATACACTCACACAGGGGTCATTCATTAGGCCACACTCTTCTCTCTTTTCCTCATACGCTCACACAAGGAACAGCCCTGAGGTCTGTGAGCACACTATATCAGATCACACAGATTTAAGGAATACTACAGCATAACCTAACCTCTTCCTGCTGCATCTTTAGCATATGTCTGGTTAATTAAATAATTTTTATGTGTCTTACAAAAGCACAGAAAACTCACTGAACCCAAACACATTCATAATCAGCATCGGCTTACTAGCTTCTATTAAAAAAGTCATTGTGCTTTCTGGCTTTTATAAGCACAAGGAAACACGTTAAAACGTAATTTTGTGGTAATCGACCACATGACACAAAGGCAGCAGAGATTAGGTAGAAAATCAATGCCGTATTTCTTTAATGATACACTGGAGAATGGTGGGCAGACTAAATAATGGTATAAATGAAACAAACATGGACAAAAGTAACAGATAATCTCATTACAGTGCTTACCTTAAAGAGTGAGTAGTCACATCCAGACATTAAGTTGCTTGATAACTGGATGTGGTTGTAAAGCCTATAGGAATACAAGAGCAAAGTTCTTCAAAGCTGCATCACAGAAGTGCATATTTTTGTACAAAAGAAGTAAAATACTTGGGTCAGTTACATAAAATACAAATACAAACAGAAAGCAGTGATTTGTAAATGGTCTCTCACAGGTAACAGCACAAAGAAGAGACATTAAATAATTTCCCTTATCAAATTTTATGGAACTTTCCACATGTGAACAGGTAAAAGGTGATGCTGACACGACTGGGTATAAAAGGAGCATTCAAGATCAGTCTGCACTTTGCGAAAAACTGTGTGCATGAATAGCCCAACAGTTTAAACAGTTACACGACTGCTAAGAATTTAGTGATTGCACCATCTACAGTCCATTAACATTATTAAAGATTCAGGGAATCTGGGGAAATCTCAGTGTGTAAAGGGCAAGGCTGAAAGCCAACACTGGAAAGACTCTCTTATGCAAAGCGATTGACCTCTCTGGGCTAAAGCTCCTCTGAGATGGACTGATGCAAAGTGGAAATGTGTGCTGGGGGCTAACAAGTCCACCTTTCAAATTGTTTCTGGAAATAATGGACATTGTTTTCTGTGGGCCAAAGAAGAAAAGGACCATCCCGATTGTTACCAGTGTCTGTCACAGTATGGGGGCGTATTGATGGGTAACCTGCACATCTGTGAAGGCACCGTTAATACTACATACACATTTTAGAGCACCATATGTTGCCTCTATGATGACACCTTCTTCAGGGATGACCCTGTTTTTTCAGCAAGACACATTCTGCATGTGTTACAACAGTGTGGCTTGGTAGTAAGAGAGTGCAGGTACTAGACTGGCCTGTCTGCAGTCCAGACCTGTGTCCTATTGAAAATGTGTAGCACATTATGAAAGCACAACTCTGGACTGTTGAGCAGCTGAAGTGTTTAACAACAACAGCAACTGGTGTCCTCAGCTCCCAAGAGATTACTGAACATTCATACACACACCTGTTGGTCAGGAAGAAAAAAGCCTATATTTTGCATTATAAGGCATAAACATCCAAGGCCCAGCTTGTTACAAGTGATGGCCATTGAGGTCATTCCAAAGTTCATTACAAATTAAAGCAATTACTTCAGAGGGAGACTTTTTGGATTTTTACTCTTAAAGCCACAGAGTATCCTGGCTTGAATGAGGATATTGATTTCTCACCTTATTTTTCCCCCCTTCTCCCCCTTTTCTTATCCTTTATGACCAACGGGTGGCAGAAGCGCATATATATATATATATATATATATATATATATATATATATATATATATATATATGCGTCTGCACATTTTTATACATACCGTCATGTTTCAATAAAGGCTTTTCATACTTCTCTTAAGACGGTGTGCACAGAAATATCTTTGCTCTGGGATTTATTTTGCACATGCCTTGTGGAAGTGGATGGATTTTCCAGTTTTTGCCTTTTCCAGCATCGACATGTTACTTCGAGTTTGCTGCACCCATGCCCCAGGAGCTCCTGTCTTTTTGCTTCATTTTTGTGACCTCTGCATCTTCTTCATTTTTGTTTAAACCATTATATTTTTTTTAGATTCATACATGAATAAATTTTGCAGATATAGGGGAAGTAAACTCACATTTAAAATGGTCACTGCAAGAACTTCAACATACATAAAGTCACATGGAAAACACAAATGTGTTTTCATCATTAATATTATGTTTAGTGGTAAATTTTTAGTTGTAATTCTGCACCATGTCAAGTACAAAGATCACTATAAGATGGAACTTTCTACTGTTCTGTCTCTGCTAATTAAATTAAACATTACACAATAATGCTGCTAAGAAACTGGGTTCCCAACTAGACTGAACATAAGTGTAAAGATGTGAAGCAAAGGCCACAGTATGTCTACAGAAAGGGTTGTGGATTCAGTGGTAGGAACTGGTTATTCCGCTTTAATATCAACAGTTTACGACAGGTTAATTGCATTCCTCCATGTAAATAATAGTTCAAAGTTCAAAATCATGTAAACTAGCAAACACCTCTACCTAAAGAACAGCACATTCCAACATTTGGTGTCACCCACCAAACACCAACACTAGTGTTTCTGAAGGTGAAGATCAGTAACTTACGCCCAAAAGTCTTCAACTGTGTCGAATTTGGAGATGAGCCTCAGGTTAGCTTGCCAGGTTTTACTTTTGTCGTTTTTAAAGAACCACAAAGCCCATCTGAAAAACAAACAAACAAAAACATTATCACTGTCAATAAGACTAACAGACTCTGGCAGGTAAAGTTTATTTTTATATACATAAATGCGTTTGAAATATATACAGTATGGACACAAGCACTAGTCCCCTGCCTTACACCATAAATATGAACATGAACTTTGTCACAAACAAAAATAATTGATTTTCTGGGATTAAATGGTTGCATGTCATATATACTGTGCACTGGAGTAAGCTAGATTTAAAAAGTTATCTAGGTGGTATGTGTTTATTTGCCCCCAAAAAGCATTGTTACAATAAATAGAAATAAAAATACATTAATTTATGGCTTGTTTAACCATTTCCAAATCTTGGAAATGAACATATAAGTCAAAAATCTAGACTTTTACCTGTTCTGCAGTGGATGTTTAATGTAATCTTCAGGACTCACAATTTCTTGCCCAGTAACATCATTTTTCTCTTCTTCAGTATGAAGTGTATTTGGGGTTATTTCCTACATAGGATGAGAAACTTCATTACTTGACTTACATGAAAAGAAAATACTTGAATTATAATACAATGTTATAATGGAAAAGGAGTTACAGGCCTACATTACAGGATTATGTAAATAGAGCAAATAGAACCGCACATACTGAAGTAACTCAGCAAGAGTCTGAACACATGACAGATGTGAAAACTAATTTAACAACCACAAATAATTACTCGCTCATTTACTACAGATTTAAAAAAGTGTTTGAAAGTGTATGTTACACACCTTAAAAAGACTCTTTAGTAAAGGCAATGGTTGTATTTAGAACTGAGTTCTATATAGAACAATTCCGTGCTTAAAGGGTTCTCTGGTGATTTTCTTTTCCCCCAGACTGATGGAGAATGTGTTGTATATGGTTCTATGCAGAACTTTTTTGAAAAGTGTTCTATTGTTATGATGTTAAGCTTGTACTAGCAGAAAAACCCTTTTTGGTGCTATAAAGAACCTTTTTCCAAAAAGGTTTTTTTTATAGAAACATATAGAACACATAAAGAACCTTTTTCAGCATGAAATTGTGTTGAACTCATATTTCTAAATAGAACCACTCTTTACTAAAGAACCCCTGACTACTTTAGCTCTAATCCTTGTGTAGAACAGGAATCCAACAATAACTGTGAAGCAATTGTTCATTATGTTATTTGAACCACAGTACAAATCCCTGCTCAAGAAAATAACATAAACCAATAACGCAACCGCTGTTCCCTGTAATATTTCTGTACTCTGAACACAGCAGGCAGCTGTTTAAACGCCATTCAACGACAAATGTAACAAAGCAACCACGTTTCGATATTTAAATCAAGTTTGTTTATTCAGCTTTAGTGTTAGCTTAGCTTAGCTTTGTTAACGTCAACATTACAAATGAGCACCGTGTCTGTGTGCTCACACTAAAAATCGTTTTTGTACACTCGAGAAAATTACCTTTTTAACACGGACACATCACCAAAAAAGTGACTTAACCCCTCCAAAACGTTAACGTGAAGTCAGCTTATTAGCCACCTTCTTGTTCGTATTTTCCCATTCCACCTTAAACAGTGCAGAAGATTCGCTCTGGTGTCTCAAGAGCCAGAATGGCCAGAATGCAACCGCTGCATCCTTTAAGGTGGAACGGGAACATTCGAACAAGAAGCTGGCTAACAGCTAACAACTTTGCCCTAAACAGCTAAACTAGCCAGTCAGTTGGCTAAATGAGCACAAAACTAACCCATAAAAGGCAGAAACTGCGTATAAATCCGTATAACGAGGGTAAAGGCACGTAACTGAGCGAAATGTATGAAAAACATCTACAGTTAATCAGTTTATTGCAGTGTTTGCTACGTGAGCTAGCTAGCAGTCTGGCTAAGCTACTTTAGCTGTAAATAAATAAAGCCCGGTCTGTTTACTATTACAGCGCTCAGTGTAACAGCAGGAGGAAATCAGCAATACTCATCACCTAAAAGCTTTTATATCTCAGCTGGAAGACAGAAAGAGCCAAATATGTGAGCAGAAACACAGTTTTTAACTCTGACACTGTCACTCACCGGTTCAGCAGAAGCCATCTTCTGAGAGATAGAGGATGGTGATGTTGATGCCTTTACTAGTTTTTGAATAAAGCCACTATTCTTACAATGTCTCCAAAAGTTTAGTCTGAAATCAAGAGTATTAGTAGACTTTAGTGCAGTAATAGCCTTTACTCCTCTGGGAAGGCTTTACACTAGATGTTGGAACATTGCTGTGAGGATTTGATTGAGCATTAGCTAAGTCAGGTACAGATGTTTCATGGTCAGTTCTGGATCACTTCAACTCATCCCAAAGGTATTGGACGGAGCTCCATCACTCCAGAGAACAGTTCCACTGCACCACAGACCAATGCTGGGGGGCTTTATACCCCTCTACACTCTTAAAAAAGATGGTTCTTCAAGGGCTCTTCAGTAAAGGGAATGGTTATATGGCTTTTTAGATCCATTTCATGCTTAAATGGTTCTTTGCATGGTGAAATGGCTCTTCAGATTGATGGAGAATGGTTTGTATATGGTTCTCTATAGCACCAAAAAGGGTTCTGGGTATTGTTACAGTGTCAAACTTGTATCAGTAGAACCCTTTTTGGTGCTATATAGAACCATTTTCAAAAGGTCCTATATAGAACCACATTCTAAATCAATCTGGAGACATTTTACCATGAAAACAACAATTTAAGTATGAAAAAGGTGTATAGAACTTATGGTTCAAAGTAGAACCATATCTTTAATAAAGAACCATCTGAGTGTAGCTAATGCCCAGAACTGGGCATGGTGACCTCAGGCTCATGTGCATCTGCTCCTCTGAACACGGTCTAAACTTTCTGCTTTGATTATAATGGATGATTCCAATGAGAAAAGCTCCAATAATAAAAAAGTCACTAATTTCTTGGCCACTTGATGAAGAATTACTACACGCCCTCATCATTCATGCTCATATTATTTTATTTTTTAAACATTATGCATATAACATACATTGTTATAATTACACACGTCCAGTTTTCAATTGACTGTATGTATTTTTTCAGTGATGTCTTCTCTTGTGGTGTTATACAAACTTTTTGCCAATTATACGGATTTAGAAAAAAGGCCATCACAGCCACAATGACTAAATAGAGTCATATGGAAAGTTTGAACACCCTGGCCGAGTTACATATTTTGCAATTTTTAACAAATATATGGCATTTGTCTGCAGATTTTAGTGCACAATTTCTATGTATTTGCATTGAATATTCAATGTCAAATTCAGCAAATATAAATCATGCACTAAAATCAACAGAGGAGTTGTATTTAAGTTTGTAAAGTGCACGATGTCTCATTTTTACTACTAGAAAATCAACAAAACAACACTTTAAGCAGTTTAAGATTTAGATAGCAATGACTGTTACTGTTATGTACTGCTTAGAGCATTTTTATATTACATCTATATACAGGTGATGTCGTGTGATGATGCGTTTCGTGGCTTGTTATTTGTCCTCATTTAATATCACTCAAGTAATCCATTTTTAATTACTATTATTTGAAGTAGTGGATAATTTAACCTCTTATCCTCCAGGGTATATTTAGGTTTTTCCATCTGAATTTACATAACCGAATTATAAGGCAAATTATTCAGTAACTGCAGGAAATAAATATACATTTTTATTTATTTATTTATTTTTTGTAAAAGCTCCCCTCAAATTAACAGAGGATGTGTTTTATGATCATACACATATTGCTATAGGCTTACAATTTACTGCTGAAAGCCAAAAATCTTACATGCTCTGTATTTTTTTATAAAAATAATTTTTAGAGTATATCACTGAAGAGACACCATCTGTTTATAGTTTATAGCCCAGATTTATGGAAAAATGGGTCAACTTTCAGTAGACATAAACAATTGTGACAAACAGAAATCAGACAATGCAATGTGTTTGAATCAATTTTATTGACTCTTCTACACATTCACATGTAATCAAAAAGTTACGATTAACAGTGCAAGTGCCCAAAGACTAAACATTAATGTGATTGCTCCACAACAGCAGGAGTTAAGGCTTGCGGATCTTGGCACATCAGAACGTCAGGACGGCTCGGATGCTGCGGGAGACACACAGGGGAGATTGTTTTAGATTATGTAAACGTGCAAAATAAGAAGAGTCAGGAACGTAAAGGAAACAAACCTCTTTCCAGCATGCATGAGGTCAAAGGCTTCATTAATCTGCGCAAAAGGCATCGTCTGAGTCACAAACTCATCCACCATCAGCTTTTTGTTCATGTAGTCATCCACTAGTTTAGGGACGCTCTCTACACTCTTCCAGCCTGCAAAGTTAAGCACAGGTGTTAAAAAAAATAAATAAATAAAAAAAATCATTACTAAATATAATGGTTTTCTGTTTCACACTTGAAGGAAAAACTTATTTCTCCACCCACTTCAAACGAGAGAACAATGAGCATCTCATTGTACTTGCCAGTAATCGACATTTTGACAATACTGTGCAAAAACTGCTTTAGTTACTGCAGTTAAAACGCGGCAAAAAAACTACGAATAGAATAACAAAATTAAATTCATGACAAAAAGAGACTGGCCTCCAAAAGCTGTGCCTTTCCACGTGCGTCCTGTGACCAGTTGGAAGGGACGTGTTGAGATCTCCTGTCCTGCCCCGGCCACGCCGATGATCACGCTTGTTCCCCAGCCCTTATGGCATGCCTCCAGAGCAGATCGCTGCAAACAAAAGCTGCCATCAGGTCTCTGAATCACGCCCCACAGCCAATAATGCACTCACATCATAAAGTGATAGTTCTGGGTAACTTACACAATCTGACCTCCACCCTCCTAGTACTATATTGCCTTACAACACCCTGCAGGTACCTCGCCAAAGCTTATTGCAAAACTGTCCTAAAACAATGTCTCAGACATCAGGCAGCTTTTAAAGGGTGGATGTCTGGTTCCTATGACCACCACTGTGAACTGCCCTAACTTAGTAAGTTTCACTAGAACTGAGCATTTCACACTAAACCACTCTGAATGACTCTGTTTACATCTTAACTATAACCATGCAGCAATTTTAAAAAAGTAGTGGAATTCCCCTTTAACCCTTGTGTCCTGTTTGCTGCTTAGTAATGGATGTATTGTTCATCATAATGACCCACGACATCTACTTTACCAGTACAGTTACACATTTTATTTTTAAAATAGCTACTATACCTTTTCATAACTCATTACCTGAATTATTTGCAATATAAACCATTTATGTTATTTGCAATTTACAAAAACAGGGCTTTGCCATAAGATTTTGATACAAAATCTACTACGATCATTGATGAAGATGACGGTCATTGTATTATATTTGACGGAATATGAAAAAAAACAATATTTTGATGCATTTGAAAACAGATATATATTTTTCACTTTTTCAAATTCATAAAGACTCTTTGTCAAGTATTTTTCATCTGGCTTGCATCATCAGTGGTCTTTTTGGACATCTGCACTACTTTAGCTCTAATAAATATCTCATAAACTGTCATTTTGACCCGAACACAACACAAGAGTTAACCTGAAGAGGTCTGAGACGAGAACATGATGATCAAGATCTGCAGTTTGAACAGTCATATGCAAAAGTTCATGTGCCCCAGGTGTAATTACATGTTTTGTTGATGTCAAAATGAAGTTAACACACCCTCTATAGAGAACACACTTCTGAGCATTTTAAAGCACAACTACAATAAAAACACAAAATGTGGACTACGCAAAAGTTAAGGCATTTAACATTTTATGTTTAATGATTTATTTTTTCCCCTCAATATTAGACATGTTCTCTATAAAGGTTGTACTTATTTTCACTTAGAAACATCAAAAACTGGTAGAGTATAAGCTTTTATTTCTTATCTATACCAGTCTCATAACTTCAGTGCAAAACTAAAGAAACATGTTTCGGACACCAAACACCGAACAGGAACATCTACACTGATGAAGCACAGCTGAGGTAAGAGAAAAAAAATTGTGGACATTTCATTTTTTCACCAAATTATCATTTTAAATTACAAATCAGTCATGCTGCTGCAGGTTGAGAAAAACAGGGGATCACTACAGTTAAGAATAAGGATGAGGGATTGATTCTATTATCATCTATAATGTTATTTTCAGTACATCTCTATATAACTCACCCACTTACCATAATGCCCACATTACCAATGCACTCAAAGGAGTAGTCCACTCCCCCATCAGTCATCTCCACTAGAACCTCCTGAATCGGTTTGCTGTGGTCTTTAGGGTTCACAAACTCAGTGACTCCAAACTTCTTGGCAGTCTCAAACTTGTCCGGGTTGATGTCGATGCCGATGATTCTGGTGGCACCGGCCGCCTTGCAGCCCATCGCAGTGGCCAGACCAACAGCTCCCAAACCAAACACAGCACAGGTGGAGCCAGCTTCAACCTGCAGAGAAACAAGAGACGACTTTTATGTAGACGGTGCAAAGCAAGGTGTGCTGAAACAAAGGGAATAATTTTCAAAGAAACTTTTAGTGCATGGTGTAACCACAATACTGCTAATACATAATTACCACTAAAACGTAGACTGAATTATGAATTAGAAGGACATTATTTCATTTTCCAGTGAACAACAGTTTTTAAAGTCCCAGAGAACACAGAGTAAAAACTTGTTATATTAAACATCCAGCAAAGCTTAAACGAAAAATATAAGATATATGATAAAAACAGCTGATCAGACCACTAAAATCATTATCGAGCTTTTATGTGATGCTAACTGGATGGAAAAAAATCATGGACGTGCAGATGAACAGATGAACGAACAAACGGATGGAGGAAGCAACATGTGAACGAAGGAACAGATGAGTAAACAATGTTGGTGTTGGATAAACGAGCAAACAGGCGACAGACAGCTACAGTCAGGTGGTCTAGCTTGCTAACTTTTGGTTATACTGGGTTAGCTTTAGCTCGCTAAGCTTCTCTGGCTCTGAAACTGTTCTGTGTGGGCGGGGCAAGAGGTGCAGCCTTGTGATTGGTCAGGGGAATTCTTACTGAAGCGTTAGCCAAGATTAGGACCGCCCAGTTTACAGGAGAGAAATATGGTTAAATATATCAGTCACTCACTGGTCACTGGAAGATTACTCAGAAGGTTTACTTAGTGCATT